GATAACCAGCCCTCAAATCAATTTTAGAGTAAATACAGGCCCCATGTAATTCATCCATTAAACCATCAACTAGTGAGATGGGAAATTTGTCCTTAACAGTCATATTATTAAGGGCTCTATAGTCAATACAGAATCTCCAGCTGCCATATTTCTTTTTGACTAAAAGTATTGGTGATGAAAAGGGGGAGTGACTAGGCTGTATTATTCCATTTGCTAGCATTTCATTGACTTGTTTCTCAATCTCATTCTTTTGAAAAAAATTGTACATGTAAGGCCTTATGTTGACTGGTATTGTGTTTGGTTTCAGGGGAATGTAATGATCATGGTTCCTCTTGGGTGGAAGGCTGGTTGGATCCTCAAATATATCAGGGAACTGCTTCAGAACCTGATGTATCACAGCAGGTACCTGCTCCTGCTCCTTTACTTCCTCTGCAGTTAGAGTAAACAGGTGAGCCCAAATAGCTTGCCCCTTCTTAAATAAGTGTTTAACTCCATTAGCTGACATGATCTTGAGCTCCCCTTGACTGTAAATACCCTTGAGTTCCACTCTTTTCCCCTTGTGAGTAACCTGAACCTTGTACTCTACAAAATCTAGCAGTACTGGGTTATGACCTTCCATCCAATCCCCTCCTAATATCATATTATTTCCTCCTAGACTTACTAGCCTCACAGAATCCTCAAACTCCACCCCTTGAGTTGCCCATTTGAACCTGTGACATGTATGCCTACTCATAAGGTAATTACTATTTGCTACAGTGATCCTCATAGGAGTAGATTCTGTAATTTTGCACCCTATCTTCTTAGATGTTTCTATGTCTAGGAAGCTGTGGGTACTGCCTGATTCCAATAGAATAGTTATTGAGTTTTCTTGTATTTCCCTCTTAGCTTAATTGTGTTTGGAACCTCAGTCCCAGAGAGAGCATTGAGGTTGATAGCCTCATCCATGACTTCTTCCTCTATCTGGTTTTCTGAATTGCCCTCTCCTCCAGTTCCTTCTTCTTCCACTACTTCTAATATAGCATGGTCTTCAGCAGCAGCCATGGCATTGATTTGTTTCTGCTTGCACACATGACCAGGAAAGTACTTGTCCCCACACTTCCAACACAACCCATTATTCCTCCTGTTATCAAATCCCTTATTTCCTGGAGCAGAGTAATTTGCTGGCCCTGCCCCCTTAGTTCCCAAAATTGGAGTGTGAGTGTTTGTCTGTTGCTGATTCCCATAGGTTGATCCTCTACCCCAAGGGGCCTTTCCCTTCTTATTCTAAGTTTCAATCACCTTTTCCCGATGTCTAGCTGTTTCTACAGCTTGACTTAGGTTGTAGGGATTCAACATCTTCACTGTATGCCTTATATCCTCCTTTAGGCCTTCTACAAAAAATTCTAAGAAAAACTCCTCTGGTATTGTAGGGCTTCTAATTAGAACCCAAGCCTTTAAATCCTCAAACTTCTCCAAATACTCATTAATTGTTCCCTTTTGTTCTATCTTCTTAAATTCTCTAATGAGATTGAATTTACTGTTGTCTGCATCTTGGAACCTTTTACACATTTCTTCACAGAATTCTGGCCATCTAACATTTCCTTTGCTTAACTGATAGGAAAAGTACCATGCTTCTGCCCTTCCATTGAAATGCAGCACTGCTTCTTCAAGCTTCTGTTCTGGCAGGTATACATGGTTATAATGGAAATATCTCTCACATTTCCTCAACCATGAACAAGGGTCAGCTCCCACAGCACCATCGAAATAGGGAAATTCCACCCTGGAGTTGTAGCTGTTATGGTAGTTATGGTGATTTCAATCATTGGTCAAAACAACAGGGATCTCCTCCCTTCTAAGGCTATTTCCCGGTTCTCCCTGCTGAAGGATCTCCATTGGAGCACTCCCCAATATTCCTGCATGATTGGGCAATAATTTCTCCATCAACACATCGAACTTCCTTGCCAATTCATCAATTTTGGCATCTATAGATTCATCCTTCTTATTTTCCTCTGTAATATGATTCTGTAATTGTGCTTCCAGCTTCTTTAGACTATCTTCCATGGATTTCGGCCTTGTTTCTGTAATGGTCATGGTTGTAGGGCCAGGAATTGCTTTGATACCAAATGTAATACTTGAATGAGAAATTAATAACAAAAGAAAGAAATTCGAGTTTTATCTATGAAATCAGCTGTGTTACAACTCAGTAGTACAATCAAACTAATACTCCAAGCTTGGAACTCGAACTGCAATGGCGGTTACCTGAGAAATGAAGGATTGAGTGAGAGAGAGAGAAAAGAAGAGAGAAACGAAGGAGAGAGGAGGGAAATGAATTACCAGATAATTGCATGCCTCCTTCTGTCCAGTTTTTAGGAAGGGATTTTCACCTATCTATACCATATATCAAATCTTATTACCAAAATTGTTCATAATTTGTTATTTACCCGTGTAGTCCACACTTTTACTACAAATTATATACCAATCCAAAAATAGGTAGATTTTTCCATAAAAAAAGCCCTAAAATGAGGCACCAGATCTGTGTGTGATTCTGTCAACATCAAATTCGAATTGCTGCGTAATTCTCTCCTTCCTCAACGGAAAGAGATCTCTCTTCTCTCACTCAACTACAATTCTCAAAAAACGCAAGCTACTGAAGCTCCAGTAATCAAACGGAAAGGAGATTTTTGTTCTTCATCTTCATCTTCATCTGTTCTTCCATATATTTTCCACCATTGATAGCCATTAAAAAGCTTGAAAGCTTTGAATTCAAATTTGGGTTTTCAAAAATCATTATTTGTTTGGATTGGGTGTTGTTGTAAATAATTCGGAATATGTTTAGGAGTTTATATCTCAATTTTGAGGGGTTTTGGTGAAGATTAGACTTGGTTTTGACTGAATTTTAGATTGAAACTCGAAGAAGAAGAAGAAGAAGAAGAAGAAGAAGAAGAAGAAGAAGAAGAAGAAGACGTATTTCCAGAAATTGTAGATAAATTGTAGTTAAATTGTAGAATTGTAGATATATTGTAGATAAATTGTAGATAAATTGTAGATGAATTGTAGATTGGGAAGACTAAAACTTCTACAAATCTTCTACAATTATGTCGAAAATGCCAATTATGCTACAATTGAAATGAGAATTTGGATATTAAAATTCAATGTATCTATTTTGTAGATATCTTGTAGATAAATTGTAGATTATTTGTATTCTGATTGTAGATGCATTATTTTCTGTTTTCACAAATCCAAAACGACTAAAGCTTCTACAAAATCTTCTGCAAAAAACAGTCTACAATTTATCTACAATTTTTCTAATTTGACTACAATTTGACTACAAAATATCTACAAATTCTGGAAATATGTCTTCCTCATCTTCTTCTTCGAATTTCAATCGACTGTGTTAACCAGTAACCTTCAACCACTGTCCAAAAAAAAATAGGTCAAAGAATTTCGAACTCTCTGCCATTATTATTTCCAGTGGGAATTCAAGCGGTTGGATCAAAGAATTTAAAATTTTCTTGTGAATCTGAAAATATGATATTCTTCGACGGTGGTGGGCAGTTGGGGATGATCAACGAGAGGAAGCATAGGAGCATCGTGAGTTGTGTGTGTGTTGTGAACAGTTGAGATGAAAGGAAAGAGAAAGTGGGAAGATACAGTCCTATAATTATGTCTAATATAAATGAACCCTTAATTATATCCCTAATTTGAATTATGGTATAGAATGGTAATTTGGTATGCTTAAATGTAATAAACACAAAGCTTAAACATTGAGGGTAATAAGGTTTGATATATGGTATAGATAGGTAAAAATCCCTTTTAGGAATATAAAGCCCAATTGACACAGCCCACTACTAACTAATTCTGTTACAACCCACTAACTAACTAACTAACAACCCAATATCGCTCCTTGTAAGAACTAATCTAGGCCCTTCATTTAGTAAGCTAACTTCTAATCTCAATCATTCGATTCATGCAGCTAACACCACACGTGTAAAATCTGAAGGTCTCATAGTCTGCCACGTCACTCTTCTCATTTTTATCTTTTAAACATTTCTTCAGCTCACTTTCCAAATTTGAACCCTAATGTTACTCCTTTACCAATTAAGAGAGATTCTTTTTCAGACATAACATAATAATAGGTTCTTCTAAACGAATGGTTTCATAAAAAGACATGTTACTTTATTATGGGCGTCGTTGTTGAATTTTCTGTTTATTAAACTTCTTTTTCCAGAATCCCACAAGTTCCATGTATACAGATTTTGAGTATATATANCCAACTATCATTTGTATCATTCGACTTACATTAGTTTCTTTTTGTTTTTTTTCCTTTTATTATTTTTGTGTCTTTCTTAATTAGGAGGACCCGAATTAATGAACCGACCTTTTTGTGTCAAATTCAGGTTCCTAAGTTGACATGTGTATGACCAATTTATATCGTATCAATTTTTTGGTTCATTACTCTATTGTGTATGACCAAAATGGTATTTTTAATGTCGGTACGTTTTGATTAATAACTAATCAAAGAAGATTAGCGTGTGGTGGTTCGACTCATCTTTTATTCTCCATATTGAGCCACTTTGAGCAATTTGGAACTCATGTACTTCCTCCGGTCCACAATAAGTGACCAATTTTTTTTGGCACACCCACTAAGGAAATATTAAATTCTAGCAAAAATAGTTAGTGTGACTAAACTACCCTTCATTAAATGTTGCACCATAATTATAGTACGTAATACTTACTTCTCTTCTCAAATGTGAGGAATAAATGACTTTTTACGGATACGTACATAAGGATAATTTTGAAAAAATAAATTGAATTTTTTCTTGATTATATGAATGGACACTTATTTTGGACCAAAATAAAAAATCAAACTGGTCACTTATTATGGACCGGAGGGAGTACTATTTTGTAAAAGAAATGATTTATTCTTTCATATAGTAGTAATATTTTCCTCCACTAAATGCAGGCAAGAGAAACACAAGTAGCAAATCTTCCACCAACACACAGTTCATAACAATGGAAAGTTAAAGAAACTAATATATTCATTGATTAGTAGCTTTACAAGCACCCTTCCTCATCCTAGCACCCTTTTTTTTATAAGGGCGGCTTCCGAAGAAAGGCTTGTGCACAAGTATCGAGTAACTCTGCACACCAAGGTTAAGGTAGATGAAAAGAAATCACCAAATGTTATATTTTTTCCAAGTTAAAAGAATCCTGGCAACCTTTTCTCTTCTGTAAGTTCCTTTCCTTTTTTAATCCTTTGAACAAGCTCAATGAACTAAACAGCTAACCCTCCAATGCAAAAACAGTAACAGACTAGTTGCTCTTGATTGTGTCAGTGACCATATTCACATTCTTCACCTTTTCTTTCAGAAATTTACTTTACCTCTGCAAATAGGCATGTCGAATAACAAAATTCAGAGGCGGCCATCATCTGCAAAAAGCAATAGAGTGCGAGAATCCTACTCAAAACCAGCCTTCGGATCAGTGAGGAGTGCCTATACGGATCTGGAAACGACCCCCGCTAGACTCTCTGTAACTCGGATGATTCATAGATCATGAAAGTAACATTTTACACAATGTCGATAGGCTACATTTTCTTTCCTCGAGAAATAATCCAAGAAATCAGCTCTAATAAAAATGTTACTTTTATTATAACACCCGGATAATAAAAAATGCGCTTCTCAGCAGAGTCCAGAAATAATCCAAGAAATCAGCTGCATGGCTCACAACAGGTGAATTTCATAACGTACCAGAGACTGGTCATGAGTCGTTTGTCCTCATCATCAATTCCTCATCGTTAGACTAAGATACAACTCAAATTTTCTTGAACTCTGATTATTTGCCAGCTAGCTACAAAATTCTCATCTCAGAAAATCAGATTCTCTTTTGCGTCTATAAGAATAGAATGAATCAACAACTACTTTCCCTACCCTTCTGTTTTTTCTCGTTCTTTTACTTACACTTCTCTTCCTTTCCTTTTCAGATGCAGGTTGAGCCATAGGGACATAACTGAGCCATCCCAGCGGCAGTAGTGCTGCAATAAACTGGATAAGTATCCCAACATGCAGATTTGAGTAGTCACCGGACGTTATACCAAGGAAATTAGCCAGAGCAACACCTAGAAACCCACTAAATATTGAAGACAAACACAGAGCCGATGCCAAGAAAGACATGAGAGATCCTTCAAAGCCAGATGGAGCCAAACTTGCAAACAGCACATGGAACGGCAAGAGCTTAAAAATTGCAATAGTTTCTGCTAGACCCGAGAAGCAAAGAGCAAACCATTCATTTGGAATTCCCATTTTGAGATTAAGCTGCTTTACAAGTACAAGGTCAAGAAGAAGAGAAGCAGCATATGTAATCTGCACGACGCTAATCAGTTTTCTCATTGGAACCCTTTTGCCAAACCGATCATACAAGACTGTCAAAGATAGAAGTATCATATGGCCTATCACCTTTGACATCCCTATAACTGATGGATCAAGATTTAGGCATTGTGACTGATAACAAAAGATAGATCCGGAGAGGGCTGGGACTGCTAAAATGGACACAAAAATCCATATAAGAGGCCGAGCAATACTTTCTTCTCTAACTGCTATCATAAGATCCGAATACTGTTTTCGAAATATTTCCGTGATTGGTTCCCTAACAGCAGAGTAATTTAATGATTGAGCTAAAACAAGGGACTCTTCTCTGGTAGCTGAAGTCACTGCTAGTTGCAGAGCAAGCAGAGCGGAAAAGGCTAGAAACATTAACTTAGGTTGCTGTGTTTTGAGTAGGAAATATCCTCCAATCAAATTACCTAAAATTGCACCGGCAGCTGAAGCCATAAATGCATAAGATTGTAGACCAGGAATTCTGTTTCTTTGACCATACTCAGCCACTAGAGCATCTTTGGCAACTTCTGTAATGGATGCTCCGACGTTGCTAAGAAGAACACATGCCATAATAGCAGGAAGCGCTTCACTTGCAGCAGCGATTAATGCCAATTGACCCCAAGCCAAAACCTGGAGGAAAACTGAAAGAGTACATATTAGTACTTGTACAATATTTATACAAAGAGATTCTACTTTTTACTGTCACTATAGACCTTTATTTATATAAAAAGGATGAATAATAAAGCCAACAATTGCCTTCGGCCACCTCAACTTCTTCACACACACGCACGCGCACACACACAACAACAACAAAAAAAAAAGGAAAACATAGCCGGTAGCGAAGAGCAAGATGAGTTGAATTTGCTAAAGAAGTAATTCAACTAGAGATAGCTTTAATGCATATTGGATCATTTTCAGCCAGCTACCAAAAACTTTACATAATGGCTTGCAATATGTGAACTTTCAAACTTACCGATGAATATTCTTTTTTCATAAATCCCAGTAAAATTTAGAGTCAAAGGAATTAAAATAGTGCACTTTAAAACTAATTTCACAACTTGTCTCAAAGGTTCTATTACGTAAATTTGACTTTGCTACACTAAAATATGTCCATTGTAATCATCCTTCCCACAAAACGAGGTTTTTAAATTGTGCTCTTGAATCACGTGATTTTCTACTCCCAAACAGTGAATTTGAAAGGGTATCCCTTGCTTTACGCTAAAGATCAGTATCTTATCTATAGAAACCTTTCCCTATTATTAGAGGAAACTAAAAGCTGCAGCTAACTTCATTCCAACAACCTTTACACGTTAAGAACTTCAGCTACTGAAGTCAAGATACCAAAATCAAAACCAACCAAAAGTGCAAAAAGGACCTTAAAAAAACAACACTCTTCCACATACCAAAACAAAGAAAACTACTTAATCTTGAAACTCAAATATACCAGCAAAGGCCAAATATATGACAAATCAAATAAACCAAAGTAAAGGGGGAGAAAATATTACCTCCAATAGAAATATAAGGTATTCTATGAGCACCACCAATATAAACTGCATCAGACAAAATACCATAAATAGGCTTAGCAACCATAGGTAAATTCCCAGAGTACTGCACAAGTTGTAATGTAGATGGAAGCATATTTAATCCATCTGCCATGTGAAAATTAAGGGCCAACCAAGGAAAACACCTAAAACCCTGTACCCAATACCCAACCCCACACAATATTGCCATATTTTGTTGACTTCCCATTTGAGAAAACCCAATCTTTTCCTCAAAAAAACATTTTTTCTTGACATTATTAGGAAGAGAAACTTGCTCAACTTTTTTCTGAGGGCCTATTATCTTTATCAGATGTGTTTTGGGATAAAGATTTTGCTGATAACAACAAGAAACAAACTTGTTCAAACATGATAAAGATTGGTTTTTTCTGAAGTTTTGGACATTGGAGAATAATGGGTTTGCACTGGAAACTAGTGAACAAACCATTATTTTGAGCAAAAGGGTGTATTAAGCTCAGGTTTTGGTTCTTGATTTGGGGTGTTTTTCTGAATCTTTCAGAAAGGAAGGGAGAAAATAAACAGAGTGAAGGGAGAAATCTAGAAGATACTAATAAAGAATAGAAAACATATTTTGTTACTTATATGGTTTTTCTTTTTTAATCTAAAGTAGTGTGGAAGAAGGATTATTTAGGCAATTTGTTTAAAGAAGAAGAAGAGGGTTCCAGCTGATACCTTGGACAGACAGAGACAACAGCTTTGATTCTAGTATTAATTTTACTTGGCCTGTTCTTTTCTATGCAGATTTGAAGGGACCCAATTACTAACCCCATTGGGTATTTGTCTTACACGTGTCGGCACACACATCAAATTAGATCATGTTTTTTCCTTCTATATATATTGGAAAAAAGAAAAGAGTTAAAAGAATAAACGAGAAGAAGAAAATAAATGGAAAGCTCGCTATATTTTTCCCCAACTTGCGTGTTTGATAGGTTTACATTTTAACATTTTTTTTGTGAAAAATTCCTAGGGAAATTCGCAGCCGCTAATCTTCGGGTGTGTACTGTGTAATTGCTCACTATACAATAGCTTGCAAATCACACAGGAGATATGAATTGCACTCGGCATACCCGATGGGACGAGCTCTGACTGAGGAGGCTGCTGGTGAGGCGAATCGATCCCAGATCTCCCATGTGGGAAACAACTCAGCCAACTCTTACGGGCTTGATATAGTTTTATATAGTTTCTTTTCGAGGGAGAAAAAACTTAATGAACTGAACTAATTCGACACTGATCAGTTTAGCTATTTATAAATAAGTAATCAATGATACATAACAAAATTAACCCAGGCGAACTAATCAAATCTATCTTATGTTATCGATAAACAAGGAACCGCTTATGACCAGTGGGCAGTGGCGGAGTCACCTTATGCGAAAGGGTATCAACTGACGGTCCTTCATAAAATTATATTGTTTAGGTAAGACAAAAAACAATTTTATGATATATATAATATGTTTACTCCCCATTATTTTATTTTATTTTATTTGTGTTTGTTTTTAATAATTTGACACCCTGAAATTTATATCATGACCTTCAAATCTTGTATTCATTTTTGAATAAATATTCTAGTAACACTTTCATACATTCACTTTTCATAATAATCGCGCATGTCAACTTAAATTAAATAATCAGAGACGGATCTAGGATTTGAATATTATGGTTCAACGTCCTTTAATATTTTTACCATTAAATCTATTGTATTTTTAAAGTTATGGATTCATATCTACTACTAGTTCTTATACTTTTGGTGAATTTTTACACATAAATATATACGTCCCGTCAAAAGTATTGGGTTCAATTGAACTATGCGATGCATCCACCCGACTTAAAATAGAGAGAGAGAGCACGCATCACTGCGTCATTTCTTCTTTAACAAAGAAATATGGAGGCACGTGAATTGTGGATTTTAGGGTTCCTAAATTTTGTGGAAAATCTGGGTGGTTTAAAAATAGACTTGGGATCCAGAGGGTGTGAAAGAATAAAAACAAAATATAGTACTACACCTAAGTAATAGACGAAGAAGACTTGGACATTTGGCATGTGACCAATGGCTTAATGTGGGTGGTATATTCTTCATTTGTGAGACTTTAAAAACTTTCACTAATCTCATCAAACGCTCTTCTCGCGAGCGTGCTCCTCACGTACGGTTGAAACTCCAACCTTTACTCTCCTGTCAGAACTCAGAAGCACTGTTATTGTTGCACACTAGGGTATGATATGCTACCTTTGTTTAATAAACACAATAATGAAATAGTGCCTTCTTTTTTTAATTGAGAGTAGGCACGAACACCCTGTTATATCTTTGCTATAATTAAGCATGTTTCCTCTATGTTAGTTTTAGTTTAATATAATTACTAAAAAGAGCAAGGCAACCATATGCACAAAGTATTTCGTATATTACATATCCTCGGAAAGGGCCGCACTTTAAAATATAGACAGTCTATTCTAATGCAAATATTAGTGAATGCTTCTACAGCTCAAACACGTAACTTATAGATCACACAGAAATAACTGTTAGAAAGTTGTATCTGTAAACTAATTCTGGAATATATAGAATAACATATAAACAGAAAATGTAAAGAGATAAAAATCAATTCAAGCCCACTGAATTCACAGAGTTTCCTTAAGAAATTTAATCTCATTCTAGTACCCAAGGTTATGAATTATTTCCTCCCAGGATAGAACGAACTACACATTGGTGTAGTGGTACTTCAAACCCTAGTGTTTTAGTGAACACAGAATTCGGTAGGAAATCACACTTACTTTTGCTTTGTTTGATGTTAAAAGTATGTAGAAGGAGGAGAAACTCAAAAAATCGTATGGAAATTCTGAGAGAATAAACTTGTATTTATAGCCAAAGTTGGGCTGAAATATGAAGAGGTGCAACTCTTCAAAATGGTTGTTTATGCAAAACGGCCATAGCATAAATGTCATAACATAAATGGTTATGTACTCAGGAAAGTAAAGAGGGAAAATTGAAGAAGGTAGTTTAATTTTCAGTTACACAACTGAAAAACGGAAAATTAATTGGATTTAATATTAATATTTATTTTAATATTAATATTCTGTTATTAAAACGAATATTTAATAACATTTCCGTTAACACTTTACTATTAACAAATAAATTTGGTCCAAAAAATTAATCAATCGATCGATCAAATCCGAAGTCGAAGCCGAAGCCGAGCCGAGCGACGACGGTGCGAGGCTTGCGTACTTCTCAACTCTTTAAGAGCTAGAAGAAGAGCAATTGCTTATATACCCATAAAAAACCTCTTCCTCTTCCAATATGGGACAATGTTCCTTCATCAATGGGGAAACTTAAAATTTCCCTTAAAAATTTCATTTCCCTCTATTTCTCATTCACCCTCTTTTAAGCATTTAATATACTTAAAACTCCAACAATAACTTTACAATTGCTCCAAAGTTTTGTGTTAGTTAATTTAATCACTATTTCATTAATACAAAAAAAACTCATACATAGTTGAGAAGGGAAGACGTAGGCCTTATTTGTTTGCACTTAATGGAGGTTTGAATCTTGATTATTCAGATCTCAAACATTAAGTGAGTTTATTTTTAAAGTTTGAATCTTAATTATTCGGATCTTAATCGTTAAGCTTGTTTATTTTTTTTACTTCACAACCACTTAATGGGTCTGAATAGATTTGTATGATTAAGATCTATAAAAGAGACTTTATTTTCATTAAGATGTTATTATCCATATTTATTATTAGTTGTCGCCACCGTCTACCATTATCGACTACCACCACCCACCATCCCACTGCTCACACCACCATCATTCTCAATGACAACCAGCACTCATCCACCTTAACTACCACAACTAACCACTCCATTACCATCAACAACTATAGTTTCCACTGCTTATCATTATAAACTATCACTACCCACCACCATCTTTGTGAATTACAACTACCACCACCATCACCCGCCATTATTAACTATCACCACTCATCACCACTATCTCAATCATAATAGCTACCACTACCAATGATCACCACTAGATACTACCCTAAACTACTACCATCAACCAAATTTACCACCAGCCACAGCTTTTAGTCGGCATTCACAGGCACTACCGTTAGCCATCATCACCAACAACTATCATATTTTAAAAAAACTATACATTTTATTGATGGAATATTAGATTAATTAGTATTTTATTTGAATTTTATGTTTATTAATTTTCAAATAAAGGTAAATTTTATACATTCAGATGTTAAAAATCAAACAGTCTTAATCATTTAGAGGTCGTTTGGTAGGGTGTATAAGAATAGTACGGAATAAGTGGTACTAGTAATGCATGTGTTAGTAATGCAAGCATTAGTTATGCATATATTATTTCTTATCTACTGTTTGGTGTGGTGTACTAAAATTATAATGCATTGCATAATTTTTAAGAAAAATAGTCGTTTACAAAAATACCCTCTATATTCTCTAACTTTAAGGAACTTTAAGGAGTAATTTTGTCTTAAACCATGCTAATGCATGCATTAATAGCCTTGGCATTATTAATGTCATGATTTTCTATGCATTACTTATGCATAGGATAATGTCAAGTATGATGTATAACTAATGCCAAGTATTAGTTATATACAGGTTGAAAAAAATGTACCAAACAAGGTATTAGTAATGTATGGAGCTAATGCTTGCATTATTTTTTCTAATACCTCCTACCAAACGATCCCTTAGTATTCAAATCTTAATACACATATTAATATTCAAATGTGTATTCAGATTAAGATATCTTAATCATAATACATATCTTGATATACACATTAATCTTTAAAAAAAACAAATGAGGCCTTAATTCCTCGTAAAAATTGAAGCAGGAATTCATGGAGAACTCTATCCACAATAATTAATAGGAGTAGTATGAATAATAAGAAACTGTAAGAGTGGAAATGAAATCCTGCTAAAATTAGGAAGTGAAGTTTCAGCAACGACTCTAAATCTTGTCCACTTTAAGCGACAAGCTTGGCTAGTATGTTAGCAAGAAAATTTATATTTCCTATTTAATCATTAATTGAAATTCATTTTCCAAACTATTGTCGATTTGCACCGGCCAAAGTAATTAAAAGGTCAAAACACTTGTTATCAAAAAGTTCTTGATTTTCATAATTTTAATCTAAGACCTCTGCATGAAATCCATGCAAAATGCTTAACTATATATCATCATTATTTGTTCTTAATTTCCCCTATAAACAAAAACGAACCGAATATAAAAATATTTCTTACGATTCCTCTTGCACCGGCAATTGCTCCTGGAGAAGACCAACCATGCATGTTCATTTTATAAAAATTCTTTTTTACCAAGCCACCTTAATTACTACTCCCTCTGTTTCAATTTATACGGCGAAGTTCGAATTTCGTTAGTTAAAATTTTAAATTTTGATCGTGAATTCGGATATAAAATATTTAATTTTTTTTTAAAATAATATTTATATATTTGAAACTATATAAGAAGGAGTAATATAAGTCACAATAATTAATAATCCAAAATATCTAAAGACACATAAAAAAATCAAAAAAAACTCATTTAACTCTCGAAATCCGAACTCCACCACATAAATCGGAACGGAGGGATTAGTACCATGCATCCTAGGCTCCTAGTTGAATAGTTTAATTTCCAGGTAATAAGTCAGACTGTCAAGGGAAAAAAAATAATCCATATAATTGCAACTTAAGAGATGTTATGGAAGTCTAATATACTTCATTATTTGATGCAAAAAATGATCACTGTGTATTCAACATGCAATCTTATTTCTCAGGACAAATAAAACAAGAAATAGAAACACTTATAAACTACTACTCCCTCTAGTCCATTTTAATTAATTTTTTTTATTATTCTTACGTATATTAAGAAATTTACCGTTTAGCATTAATTAACAATGAAATTGATCATATTAACCTTAACTTGTTCATTGAAAATACAATAAATATTCCTAGGCTCTTTACTCCAAAGATAACTTTAAAAAAAAAGAAGTTAATTCTTTTTTTATATCTTAAAAAATCAATTATTTTGGAACACAAAAAAAAAGGCTAAAAAATCAATTAAAGTGGACCGGAGAAAGTAGTATATAAGATGGTATTAAGTAAGAGGTTAGAAGAGAGCAATTATTTCATTAAAACTAACATGTGCGTTTATATATGAATTATATTCCTCATTTACATTATATAGCTAGTCTATATGCTGTTACGTAAGTATATACTATTTAATACCAAAAGTGTTCTCGCCTATAATGAAAATATACAGAAAAATAGGTACTCCTAGTAGTAATTAACAACAGTCCGCTCTTCGTTCAAGGAAATTCAGCAGATATTTTTTAACCCGACAAGTATTCTTTATCAGAAGCAGTACTGTGCCCCTTATCATCAGTTTCATTTTCATTCACAAACTGTTTTGAGCCCTGCAAATTTTAATCCAAACAAAATTAATTTAATATTAGTTACATTTTGCCAAAAACAAAAAAGAGAAGAAGTAAACTACGAAATTTTTTGCTCAGAATCTAAGACTTTTAATTAAACTAAATTACAGTAAATATTCTTACTAAATCAAAAATTTAAGAAAAAATTAGAAAAATCTAGGTTCATGTTTAAACAAAATTGCAACTGTTTAATTGAAAATCTCTGAAGTATAACAAACCAAGAAAAGCATTGATTTCGACATGCAACAAATTGTATATCCTGACTCAAGAAATTACTTTAGAATCAAGAATTTAGGTATTAAGATAGTAAACTTTAGAAACAAAAATCCAATATTAATGTAAAAAAATAAAAAATAAAAATAAAAAATGCTGACCTCAAAGTTGTTACTGTGATTCTCTTCCTTACCAGGACTAGTATCTTCTTTACCATCTGCTTCATTTTTTTCATTCAGAAACTGATTTAAAATCTGCAAAATCAATGCAGCAAAAATTAAATATGAAGTTTACTGCAGACAATAAATACTAATATCGCAAAATATATAAGTAGTACATTGCATTTCACCTTTCTTTTGGTAGTCTTTTCAGAATTAAGTGATGGATTTGATGGCAAAGGCAGGTTCACAGCTGCCGGAACCAGAATATCAGTATTAGTAGGAACAGAAATTGATCTACAAAGAGGACGTTGCCAATTAACGGCAGAGATATTACTGTTCTTAGCATTTTCCGGTGACTGAGAATTCATGTACGTAACAAAAGCAGTAAAAGAATTGAAACCCGGTGGTTCTGAGAGTGTCCGCCGCAGAGTGTTATTGTGCGGCTGCGTTGCTGTGAATCTTGAAAATGGGAGTGGTGAAATGGCCGGATTATAAGTTGTAGTAGTTGAACACGTGGAGAATGGTGATTTGTTAGATACCCTTTTGGAGGAAAAGGGTGAAAAAGCAGGGGATGGTGTTTTTTCCGGTACCGTTTCGGCGGCGGCGGCGGTAGAGGAGGAGGATGGTGGTGGATGGAGAGTGATTTTTTTGGGGGAGGGTTCATCAGAAGGAGAAGAGGGTGGTGGTGGAGATTTTCTCTTCAGAGAGATACTCTTTATGCTGCAGTTTTCACCGGTGAAGGCGGCTGACGTGGTGGCAGAGGGGTGGAGGACGGCGGAGGAACCGTGAATGCTGGAAGTCATATCTGTTTTTGTTTCTGGGAAGTCGTAAAAATTTTCTTTCAACTGATTTCTTGAAGCTGAAGAGCGCGCCAATATATAACGAGATTTTACTGCTGGCGGTTGAATTTAACCAGCAAAAAATTTGACACGTTGCAAAAGACAGTGGGATATTAACGAGAATTTTTTAAATTATTCTTCTTTCTCTTTCAAGAGTTGAAACCAAAAGTAAATATATCGATTTTCTTAATATTTCCATTTTATCTTCCCCACCTCCTTCACGTGATTCAATCTGGAGGTGCTCTACGGAGCCAACTTCTGCAGCAGCAGAAATCTAATACAAATATTTTAGATGCCAATCATGCTGATGATCGAAAAGCAGCAGCAACATAGAAGCTGGGCAGCAGCAAATCGTCACAACAGTTCCAGTTATTTCAGCAGAGGAACGCAAGTTATTGGATGCAATGGTAAGTACAAAACCTGTGAATTCTTTAAATGTTGTTACTGGCAGCACTGATCGTGATAGTAGGAGCAGGAACAAATTAAAAAATGTAGAACAACCATCACATAATGCAATTTTGGCTAGAAGGCATGAAGGAAACACTCTGATGACACAAGATGTTCCCCAAGACATGCCAAATCCGCTACTGGTAGGCATTGATATATATGAAGAAGGGGAGGAAGATGATATCTTAAATCAATGCCGGGCAGAGGCATCAAGAAAAGGGGACCTATCACCTATGCATAGTGGAAAAATAAAGAAGGCACATACAAGGAAAAATAGTTGGGACGACAAGGTCATTGATTTTTTAAATGTTAGGCGACCTCCAATGAGAGTTGCCAAACAAAAGAAGGCTGCCCCAACTACCTCAACGAGGTCCAACCGTTCAAAAAATAAAGGATGATTTTTGAATACATCTTGAAAAATTGGGGTTGTAATGAAAAAGAATTACAACTTGAAGAAATTACAAGTTCGGACAAGAAGGGACAACATTTTAATTCCTTCATCATTTTATTCTACCATTATATTAGTATACTCATTTGTAATATCATCACAGAGTATGTTATAAACTCTGTGATGATCATTGAATATTTGGTACTTTCTACGTCTTATTTTTTACATGCATGCTAGTAGGTGAGGTTTTTTATGCCTCAATAGGATTAGTAAGGTAAGGTTTAGCACGGTTTGTGTTTCTTTAGTCTTATGCCTTTGGAAATTATCCACACGGCTATAAGATTATATGCCCTCGTGAGACTTTGTAGGCAGCTACACCATGAATCCTCTACATGAGGTTGCCATAGGCAATGTGAGGCGCAGAGGAGTGATTATATAGCCAAGGCATATGGGTAACAATACCGATGTTATTGTCCCACTTATTTGTACTTTTCCTAATTGTTGTATTTTTCTTTTCTTCTATTAATAAAAAACTAGCCCTAGACACTTGCCTAGCGAATTGCCAAAAAAAAAAATGGAGCCAACCTTTTTCATATTCCAATTTTACTAAATTAACGTCTTTCTTCTTAAAACTTGGATAATCTGGACTATGGAACTACAGAAAATATCAAAATGACAAATATAATACAGTAAAATCTCACATCGTTTGTACAGACATATATTAGTTGCAATAGCAAAATGTTGTTATAGAGAACATTACTATAATTTAATATAAAAATAAAGATCGATTTCAAAGAAAACTTGGCCATCATAGTAAAATGTTGTTAAAGAGAACGAATATTATAGAGAGGTTTGATTTTACATTTAAAATTTTAATCAAACTTAACGTAGTTTGAGTTTCGAGTAGCCAAAACGTCCAGTATTTGGGAACAAAGTACTTTATAGGCATACGTATAAATGAGTGTCATTGGCCACAAACTAGAAGCCAAAGACCAGTGAGGGCTGATAGAAGCTCACACACTTCCATATGTACACACAAAACAACTAATGGGCATGATAAATAAAAGACATTGAGGAATTACATTAGAGGCTACTTGCGAGAGTTCTTGATTCAGTAGGCAGACTAGTATCTTAGGTATTAACTTTGTACGGTTGCCTGAATGAAATCTACTCAAATAACTCATACCACTTTGGTCTGTTTTCTGAAATAAAAGAAAATCTTAAATTTAAGAGTATACTACAACAACAACGATAAACCGGTGTAATCCCATAAATGGGATATGGGAGGGTATTGTGTATGCAGACCTTACCCCTACCTTATAAGAATACATTAACGAGTACACTAATTCCTAAGAAATTCAGCTACTACAAAAAAATAGTTCGAATTTGACGAAGAAAAAGGAGGGTGCGAGTGAGAGAGCTGTGCCACCTAAGTTGCTAGAGCTTCCTTCGTAATCAAAGAGGTGACAAGAACACTACATTCAAAATATATTTATGATCTCATGACTTCGTAATCACCAGTTGTACAAAGAGCAAAACAAAAACTTATCTTCCCCATTTTTGGCTTGAAAGAGAAACGATTAATCGACATCTCAAAGATCCCAGCTCACTTGAGCAAAGCTGCATCTGATTAATATAAGCTTACAGTAGCCAAAAGAAACATACGTGCAGGAATATGATGTTGAGGCTTACGAAGGTAAACCATATCTCGCTGCTCAGCCAGGTAGGGGTTCCAAAGATTAGCGAAAATTAAGATGTCAGCTCAAAATGTCTTTCTAACAGTGACTGAACCTCAACAAGAGAAGACGCCTTATAGTCCGGTTGGTGTTCGACGTTTGCATATTCTGGAGCATCATACCTTCCTGTTTCGTCGAGCAAGCAAGTAAATGCTCCAGCTCGTTTGCCACAAGCAACCTGTAATCAAACCCCAAAATTTTTGTATCACAAAGCAGATATTTTAGCCTTCACTCTCTAAATGACAAGAGCAAGAAACAAAATTGGGTAGAAGTAACTACATAGATGTAGGAGCCAAAGCTCGTATATTAAGAACAGCGAGGAATAAAGTAAAGGTAAAAGCAAATCAAACAGGGAAATCGCCAAAGAAGAACTCGAGTATCAATTGTTTTAAAAGTAACCATTATTCTGCCTACACGTATGCCAAATACAAAGTTATGCCAAACCAAGATGATAATTAATACCAATATGAATTAGTTGAAACTTATTCAAGCTAAGTGAAGGGAAATGTCATCTTTCACAAACATGCATTAAGTCACCTATTTCAAAGAGCAGATGTGAAAGAGAAAAAGGAGCAGTCAGCTTGAGAGGAAACTCACATCATCTTTAAGGCTGTCCCCAATCATTATTACTTCATTAGATTGAACTCCCCAAGTTGAACAAATATGCAGCAATGGAGCTGGGTCTGGTTTATAAGGACGAAATTCCCTGCTCAGTGCAGGAGAAAATTTTACCTGTATCAAAAGAGATTCTAAATTTAAACTTTATATAGTATACATATTAGACCAGGGAACTAAGTGTGAACGGCATGAGCTGAGGTGACAGATATATTACAGCTGACGTGGAAAGATTTGACAGCCAAAGATGAGAATAACCTGCAAATTTATAGCAAAGATAGGATTGCAAAACAAAACTAGCTTTTGTGCCCTTTTATCCTTTTTTTTGTGGCTTAGGGCAATTGAAATGAACTATCTAAAATCACAGGTGACGAATAAAATATCCTTCTCAAATAAAAAGACATGAAACCTGATTACTTTTTTTTGGATAAGTACATGAAACCTGAGTGCTTTCACAAAGTGATTTTTTATCTTTCCTTCTTTGATCATCACATGTCAAGAATCTTTTTTTTTTATAAGGATGTCAAGAATCTGTATTGCTAACAGGAAACGTCTAGTTTTATTGTGTTTTGAAATAGTTGTGAGATTAATCAAGGAAGTAAATCCATAAGTAAAACACCTGAGACTCCACTCACATTTCATTAAAACACCTGGAGACTTCATTCAGACTTCCAGCTACCCCCCCCCCCCCCCCTCTTTAATAAGTTAGACTTCAAGCTTCTACGAAGCCAGAATATTAAAGCAAATAAGTTTTTATTCTTGCATTCTTTTTTATCAGTAAAGTAAACATTTTATTGATGTAAAACTGATACTAAATCGATCAGTAAGTTTTTATTCTGTCATTCTAAAAGATCCTAAGCAATAGGATGGATAGGAGAATTTTGTTCACTCACTCTTGGACTCGTACAAAACAATGCATTCTAGATTCCTCCTCTCGGATATGTTCAGTTCAAAATGGGACTAGTTCTCCCTAAACTGTTCTCCAAAAACCAAACCCGAGACAAATACTCCTAAACTGTTTTCCAATCCAAACACTATCATAAATTTCCAAATAATGAGACACAATAACCCCAGAAATTGTCCGTGCAGATAGAAAACAGAAAAGATTAGAAGGCCTGGTCTTTTTCTTCTGATTTTTCTATAACCAAGAAGTTTCCAAGGGTTAGCGGCGTACGGTTCGAAACTCGGTAGATAATGGCTTTCTCTGAATATTGAAAGAATGAGTAAAGCCTACGTAATGCAGGCTTTGTACTTTCAGTACTATTTCCTTAATTCTATCTTTCAATCTGTGCAGTTTTGGGCTTGAGGTGCTTTCACTCCTAAATTCCCAGTGTTTGCACAGCTTATCCAGAATGCAAACTCCTAGATGATATCACTCCCCTTCTTTGAGAACATCATACTGGCAGTGATAACTGGCGCCCAGTGCTTCCTATTTTACATGGTACAGTAATAATCTACTCAGACACAGAACTGTAGTTGCGCTTTGACAAGCCAAATAAAGCTCAGTTGAATCAACCAACTATTCTACTATCCCAGAAAGTGCATGGTTATCTAAATGTTGGGAAGAGGTGTTCCATCACAAAAAGTAGGATTTTTGCATCTCAAAAGAGATGCAAGAGCGTCTTAGAAAGTTTTGCTGTTGCAAGACCACTAAAAATCTAAAATACAAGAGAAAAATGGCTTTAAGAGCCGCAGAATGAATGGTGTCTGCAGATTGTTCCTTATGACTATTCGATTTATTAGTTTATAACTGGTGAGCTACCTACAGCGGACCCAAGACGAAACAAGATGAAATTGAATTCACAGGAACTCCATGCATATTTCCCTTTCTTTTAAATAGGTTTGCATGTTTTTTTAATGAAAAAATGATGCCTTATTTTTCTTTTAAATATCATTTACAGATTGTCTTATAGTTTCCTTATCCAATTTTGCTAACAGAGAAGAAAGAGAGTATTGTCCATCTTTTCTTTCTCTTTCTCTTGTTACATGTTTCAGCTACATAGAATTCCGCACCATGTTACAGAAAGTTCCTTAGATTATCCTTTAAATCATTGTTCAGCCACAAGGCAGCTCCTGTAAAGGAATGAATTGAGAATGATATCATGCTCCTCATTAGCTCAACAACTGCCTTTAGCAGCTCTTCTCTGTTTGACTACAAAAACTTACAGATACGCCACCACACTATCTGCACAAATATCCTGGCAGTCACGGCTTTTAGCAGGTTCATTATCCTCTGACTGTGCTAATGAGTGAAGAAGAAAAAATTAAGCTTGATATCCATTTTGTTTTCCTATTTGCCTTTACTTTAAACTAAAGAAACTAAAGTGTAAGAACGAAGATATATTCTTCCTCTTCCTTCTCCTGTGCAGTGATTATTCTTGTTTCATCCCTTTACAGAACTAGCAGTTTCTTCTTCTTCTTTTTCCCGGAAAGTCCAGTTATCTTTATTCACTAATTTCCAGCATACAATATAAACATAACTTATGTCAAAACAATTGTTTTATATATTTAAGTGAAGAGAAAAAACTTACTCCAAAGCGTATATGAAACAAGTCAACTGCATCTTTGACATTTCGAGTGATTAATCCCCTTCTGAAATAGAATCACAAAACCAACAAATTATTTTCTTCCCAAGTGCCAGAAATATCTAACAATGAAATAACATCTTCTAGTACAATGAGTCAATGTCAGTACTTTTAATAGGAAGGAAGCATATGTCACATCTATCCAGTAACACCGACACAGAAATGCGGACTGTTTCCTTCTATCTAATTTATCAGAGATGTGATGATAATCCGGCTTCTGGAGCTTAACTTGAATTATGTCATTCTCTCATCTAATCAAAAGTGTGGTCCACGGGAATCCACCGATAGTGAAGAGCATAAAATAATGTAAGATACCTTTGACACGTATCAGAAATTTTAAAAATCTCACGAGCTTAGTATTCCGTTACAACTAACCTCAAAAGAACGAAAGCATTTTGTTACAACAGATTTATCAATTGGAATATAATTTGGCTACATCCTCGTGGCAGAGAAAAGGGAGGAAAACACTAAGTGATGCATCCTAAAAAAATACAAAACAGAAGTCTAAAAGACCAATAAATTGAGAGAAAAAGTTTTATGCACAAGAGCACTGCCAATCAAGCTACCCGGGGAATTGTATTGTAATTTGTAAATACTCGAAAAAATGGAAAAGAAAATGTGGCCAATTTGCATCCCAGGACTTTGGTTCACTAGCGAAGGTAGTACAAAGCGGAATGTGTAGTAGGAGTACATCACAAGTACGGAACCAGGTTCAGTATTATCGTTTAGAAGGGTAGAGGAGCATGTCAATGATCCATCGAGTTGAAGTTGGAAACATCGGATTTCTTGGTTTAAAGAGAAAGGCCTGGCCAATCTGCATTCTTGCATCCTAAAGCAGTCTTAAGAAGCACTTTTTTAAACTTCAACCCGCACCTCAAGAATCAAGATGGCAACTTTTCAAAGAATAAGCAAAGGTAAGGAGTGGGGATGGAAAATTAGCCACATTAGAACTTAGGCTATGACATTGACAATACAAAATAGATGGGCAAAGGCGACACAGAGAGGAGGAAAAATAACTACTTTGATGTAGGAAAATGCTCAAACTGGTTTCCAAGGAACTGTATAAAGAAAAAGAAACAAAGATGGCAAAGGCTCTAGTAGCTCACAAGAAACATAGCATCAAAAATGAGAATTAAGTCGGAGCTCCTTAAGGTGCAGCTTGATTCTCACCCAAGTCTCCCTTTCTGCTCACCTACTCTGAGCTATTAACAAACCCCCCCTCCCCATGAATCACAACAACAAATGAATTGATTGCTCGGTTCAAGTATACGAATCCTCCGTATCCCTTCAGCTCTATTTGGGCGCCCACTTCATCCAATTAAAATAACTTCTTTATAAGGACACCCAAAATAACCTTTATAAATGCTTGAGCTATAAAATTCTATAGCTTCTACTCTAGCATACTAGATGCTAAAAAGGAACTATATATTTCGATACAGTTGAAAACATCTAGTCAGTAAGTGTTGCCTATTATTTCCTTCTTATATTTTTTTGGATAAGTAAGTCTTACCTAATATTCTGAGAATCAAGAAAACTGCAAAGTTCTGCAGCACCTGCACCAAATAAAAAAAAATTAACAAGAGAAGCAATTAATCAACAGTAACCTCAAGAAACAAGGACAGAAAAATAAAAAATAAAAAAAGACTCGATTTTTACCCCNCAATAATTTCATAAGCCCTACGTTGTTTATCGGGGCTCCAATTTTCAATGTGGTGCAAAATATCAATGCCAGAAGGGTTCTTGGATTTAACGGCAAGGTACTCATCATGACCAAGAACAGCTTTATACATGGCTTGAAAATCAATAACGGGAACCGTTAGGGTTCCGTCCATGTCAAATACAACACCCTTAAGATGGGGTTTTGAAGAAAGAGAAATTGAAGTGGATGTAGATATAGCCATTGTTGAAAAAGAAGAAAAGGTTCTTGTTGTATGTAGAAAAAGGAAAGCTTTTGAAAGTAGAAGCTGCATTTATTTACAGATGATGTAATGGATTTGTTAGTGCGTAAATGGAAATAAAGAGAGAGCTTTTTATTAGTTGGGTTGTGTGTGATTAGGAAGAAGACAAGTGGCAGTGATAAGTGGAAGCGGAAATGATATTTAAGGTTGGTGTTGGAGAAGAAGACAAGATTGTCATAAAAGCATATATGATGCAAATGAGTTGTGTTTTTCTGATTTTAGTGAATATAAATGTAGAATATTCTCTCCATTTATTCTCCCTCTAAAAATATTGTCTGCTATCAAATTCAAAATATTACTAAGAGCCCGTTTAGATGGGCTTGTTTTAACGAGGTTTTGATACAGTTATCCACAAAAATAAAACTATTTATCTTTGTATGCCCATTTATTTTTCTACTCATAAACTAATTACATTTCCTACCCATAATAATTTTTGTGGGGAATTTTTTCATTATGCTCCAATTCTTTTTTTATTTCTATGCTTCTTTTCTTCTTCTTCTTTTTCTTTTCTCCTTTTCTTTTTTTCTCGTTTTCTTCTTATTTTTTTCTTTTTTCCTTTTCTAATTTCATTTAACTTTTTTTTATTCTTTTTTTCTCTTCATAATCTAATTTTATTTACTGTTTTCATTATTTTTTATTATTCTTTTTTTATACAATAAGAAAAAATAATTGATATAGTAAATATTTGTTCACTTTTTTTTAATATAACTAGTACAATATGCCTTCTGTTTTTTTTTCTTTCTCATTTATTAAACTCAATTATTAAACTAAAATAATATTAGTTGTTACTTGATCTAATTCACTGAATATCACATTGATTGCTGCATAATCAGATTCTAAGAATCAACACGTGATTGTCATGCAAACCTTGATCTACTTCCCTATAAATATCAGTACACACTCTACCATTAGCAGTAATACAACCAGTTATAGAGCAAGAAAACATAATCTACGGCAACCAGATCTCCATATATACTAGTTAGAATAAAAATAACAATAAAATATTAAAAAATACAACAAAAGTATAAGTAGCAAAAAAGACTTCTAGTACCATGTAATACCAATATGGTATATATGTATACCAACAGAGCATGTGATTTCTCTAGAATATTGCTACATCTATCTGCAACTATACTACTGTACCAAAACATTAAAGGACGCAATAAAAGTATGAGAAAATTACATGCTCGTATTGCAAGCTAAATATTCGCAAAACAACTTGCTCATTTTGTATACTAAGAGGGTATATAGGTATATGGAGTTGTTCCAACAATTGCCTATAACTATAAAAACTATTACATAATATACATAATTTATGTTCATCGGCACACAAAAATTCCATATTGCAACTCATGTTCATATAAATAATTTCATAATAGAATTCACTTAAGATGCAGCTAAAACAACCAAAACAATGTTCAACTACCATATGATATCAATATGGCATATAACTATACCAACATGGTATACAATTTTACTAGTTAATTCTCAACAACTATATGACTATACTACTATTACATAACACACATGCGTAAAGAAAAAATAAAAAAAAATAGTTTACCATATATTAATATAATAAGGTATTTCAAGATATTGTTCTATATTACTATTATTAAGAGAAAATCAAATATTGCACCAATTAAATGCAGCTAATACAACCAAAAAATGATTCAACTAGCATATGATACCAATATAGTATATAGCTATACTAATACGGTATATAGTTGGAATGAATTGTATACTAAAATGGTATATTTGTATACTATTTGAGTATACAATAGAAATTCGTCTTGTTCTCTAGTTCAATTATATTTCAACCCAAATTTCTAAAATCTACTACAAGATCTCCACCAAATTGACTAAAGCTTTAGCTACAACCTCAAATCAACTTTTCAAACAAACTTATACAGGATCGGATCAAAACAATTAAAAACTCAAACAAACCAAGTTATGAGTTTCAAGCTTCAAGGTCCTTCAATGGTGGATTTAAATTTTTGTACAATAAATCTCCAAAAACCAGCACCAAAGGTACAATCTACACACCAAAGAACAATAACTAATGAATTTCAACAGTAAAATACTATAAAAAATCAGATCTGGCATTTTGAACTCGTTCATATGGAGTTTCAAAAATTGTTTCTTGAATTACAAATTGTTTCAAAAACTGATCAAAGAATTACATCGGGTTATCTTAAAGAATCCAAAACTATACTATGGCCATTTGTTGGTCATTACAATGGGAGACTAATTAATCACTACGCCCTGAAAGCAATTTGACAGTGCCTGTTGTACCAAAACATCTAATTGTTGGTGATAAGAGTTGGGCAAAAGAAAAGTTGTAAGAATTTGCTTCCAGCCGACTCTGCAACCAACCCCTCCCTCTAGAGAAGCCATCAGTCGTGAACTTCAAAAATTGGAGGAAGGTAAAATGAGAAATAAGAATAAGAGGAACAAAATAAAGACGGGTATATAATTTGGGGTGCATGGGTAGGAGTAGTAAATAGTTTGGGCCTGGACATTAAATGATAAATAGTTTGGAATTAATGGGTATAAAGTGAAATTTTCTTTTTATGTTAAGTTAAAATAACTTTTAAGCTATTTTGTAGTGTTTGGATAAAATAAAAAAAAGTACTTTTAAGCAATTGTGTTTAAGCTAAAATGACAAAAACAAGCCAAAAATAAAAGGCTAGAATTCTTAACTTATGACTTAAAAGCTATTTTAGTTTAAAAGTCACTTAAAACAAGCACATCCAAATGGTTGTTTTGCCAACCTAAATTCAAATCTATATATTAAATAAAGGAGGGAATAGAAGAGATGATGTGGCATGCCTCTAAAGCCAGCAAATCTATTTTCCTTTTATCTCCTTTTTGGCATTTTTTCCTTTCTATTTTGTTCCACCAAAGCCATATTGAAAGAAGTAAAACTGAATTTTTTCTGTTATTTTGTGTATTTAATTGCCCATAAATTATGAGTATTTACTTCCCATTAAACTTTTATTATTTACTGCCTCAAAATGTAACGTATAGTTATCTAAATCCATTAAACCCCTTAACTTGTCGATTCACAAACATTAGCAGTTTTTTCATTGGGAAGAATATGAGAATTCTGACCCCTTAACTCTCAAAGACTTCCAATTCTCCATAACAGTTATATTGCGTCCATTCCCTCTCTCATGTAAGTTTGGAATTGCAAAGACTAGCTTTTGGCATTCCTATTGTCACACCTCCTTTTTACCTACATCCCCGGAAGGGTGATGTATAAGGGAGTTTTTTCCAACTTAAAGTGACAATCGAAACGGGATTATTTTATTTAAAATCAGAGTCGCCACTTGGGAGATTTATGGTGTCCCAAGTCACCGGTTTTGAATCCCGAATCGAGGAAAGATGACTCTATTTTTGCAGTCCACGAACACAGAAATCCGGATAAGGAATTCTATTAACCCGGGAGAAGGTGTTAGGCATTCCCGAGTTTCGTGGTTCTAGCACGGTCGCTCAACTGTTATAATTGGTCTATTATCCGATTTTAATACATGTTTTAGCATATGGTTCAATTTTAACTTTATAACCGCTTTTATTTAATTAATTAAAGGAAGATTATAACGTCATTTAAAATATGTTTCAAATCACGTCACATAAATGCATCCGCAGTCCGCAACATATTTTATCTAACGTTGAGATTTGGATTTGGGTCACATAAATGCGCACTCGAGTTTAGGGAGGTAAATTATTAAAATAATGCGCCTAAAGCAACTACGCGTTTTAACTTTGTGAGAACCACGGGAAAATCAACTAAATGGCACACCTCGATATTATTAAAGCAGAAGACATTCAACAAAGTGAACTACGGACATTCATTGTTTAAAACTAATTCAAAATTTAGGATCACAACTACGTTACGAGAACCGTACCCTTAGTCGTGACGTTAGAAATACTTCCAAACCAGCATATAACTTCATTGTAACTAACATCCTAGAAAGAGATAACCAATCCTTAAGGCTGCTCAGATAATCCATGACAAACTTTAGCATAAAGCGACTTTGCTTGGTATAAAATCAAACTAACTAATTAAACTCGAACCATATTTATTACCATTGATTCCATGAACTGTGATTTAGATGACTATTTACGAACAAAATTACGAGATGATAAACCCTTTTAAACAGATTCTAGATCAATAATGAGATAAACAAAATAATCATATTGCATTCATGATCATCGAAAGCTATTGGCAAGAATATGTAAATAAATTTAAATAGATAATAAGAGAGGAAATGAACCTCAATACTGAAAATTGATTGTTTCACAATTTGAAAATGCTAAGCCACGGAATGAACAGGACCGCGAACAAGATCTGAACCGGAAAATCTCGCTGGAAACCTCATCAAATCTCTGAGCGGACTGCCTCGCTCTGTTGTACCACAATTCCCGGGCAGCTAAGGTCAGAATTGCTACGAGGACAATGTTACTGCCAGTTGAACGGAAAATGGAAAATTTGTATTTCCATCTAAACTCAAAAGATGATGGATATTTCCTAATCTTTCGGATCTAATAACGTGTAAAAGAAAGAGCAAACAATAGCAAAAAGCTAAAACACGGAGGTTGTCAGAGACTGAATGGATTCGGGTAGATTCTCGGATCTAGACTTCATTTGTAAACAAACCAAAACTCACAAACATCTACAACGAGCATCACTGGCGACAACTTCAACTACAAGAGTGCCGGAATGACACCAAAAACACACAAAGGGGTCGCTAGGACGTTAGATTTCCGACCAGACTTAGCGACACCCAAACTGGCCACATTTGCGAGCGAAAAATAAAAGAGAATGAGGCCAGTAGCAGCATCGGATAGAGATAGATGAGTCGTGAGTGATGGCTTCAGGCTGGCTTTCACACTGTTTCAGGTGTAAAAATATGTTATCAATGGAGCATGGGGAAGTTGAA